CGCGACAAAGGCGGACGCCGCCGAGGCGAGGCGCGACCTCCCGGTCGCCGACGGCTGGCCGGTCCGCCGCACACGCGGGACACGCGGCCGCGGCACGTTTAGTCTGTGTTCGGGGCTTTTAGGAACGGCCTCACGGCCCCCCTGCCGGCTGACGCAGAGCGCGGGTGGACTCGCGGCGAGAAGAGGCATGAGAGTAGATCGCGCTGCTCCTCTCACGCCGCCGCCGCCGCTGATTGGTGGGTGTGGTAGCCTATGTGGGTGTTTGCCCGATAGTGACGCGAAAATAGTACATACATCGGGAATCGTTTCCTAAACGACGTGTTTCTCAAACGTTTAGCGTGTTTAATTATTAATTATTATAAGAGTCGCACCACTTCAAGAATCGATTTTTTTGAAACGAGGAGTGTCAACGTTGCGTTCTGACTTTCCTTCTTGCAAGGAATGCGCCGTGTTGCGGGGGTTGTGCCCCGCCCACTTCAGCCGCGCCGTGTCGCAGGACGGCCGGTGCTAAGCCCGCGCCCGCGCCCGCGCCGTGGAGTAGGCCAGCGGCGGCTCTGGCGCAACTCAAGAGGCCATCTCTGATCACGTGATTGATAAAATGTTTCCATCATAATTCTGATTAATAATAGCGCCTATTAATCTGACGCTCCTTCCCTTAATCCTGCTGCAACATTGCCGTGCGGGGGCGGCTGTACTCCCAGGTAGAATACGTGTGTCAATGACGTCAAGATGACGTCATTTTGACGCTTGCCGTCAACATTTAATGCGGCTAGCACGTTGAGTCCCACGTGACCACACGTTCCCTCCTGGGACTCAACGTGCTAGGTAGTCAGATTGACCTTATTTTGTCGTCAAATGATGGTCATTGACGAGTTTTTGACGATTGTGTTCTACCTGGGCTGCTCAACGACCACGCCCGGTCAGCATCTGCACGATACCGAATGGTACTCGTTTAGTTGGTGAGGGTAGTATCTTTGACATTCCCTCGAAAATCACCGCAACGCTACAAAAGCAAAACACCGAATAGATTAGAGTCATGGTTGAAAGGTTTTTCATTGCCCGTCATCTTACAAAGGTGCTACAGACTAGCTACAACGCCACAAGAGATACGGACGGGCTCCGACGTGAACACCGCCAGAACACTCCAAGCGCCCCCTCTCGCCTCCTCTCCCCACTCCCCTCAAATCTCGAGCCTTTCCTAATAGCAAAAACAACAATCCATCAAATAACAACGAAATAATTACGCATAATCATATAAATGCGTCGTGCGAGGCCATATAAAACGTCGTAAGATAATGCCCCCTGGCGATCCCAACGCATGTTCTGTTCATAGACTCGACCGAACTCCAGGAAAAACAAACAAGCGACAAAAAGAGACAGCAGAAGAACTCGCTGCTGCTTCAGAGCACGCCGCCCCATGGTCGCGGGGTGGCCCGACCCGGCACCACCCCTGCGCCCTGGCGGCGAGCTCTCAAGAAGCCGAGGTTCACTCCGCGCTGGCACCGCGCTGAGCACGGAGTGAAGCCGCTGCACCGGACCGCCGCCGTCTTATACCCGCCGGCGAGCAGGGCGGGCAGGGCGGGGCGCGCCGCGGGGGCCGAGGGTCGAGAGGGGCTTAGGCCTCGGCTTAGGCTCCCATTGGTCGCGGCTCGCCTCACCCGAGCGCGGCCACCCCCCTTGTCTCCGTGCAGAGCGCGCGGACATACCGCTGGTGCTTCGCCTCGATTGGCCGCCCATGCGCTGTCCATCGCTACACAAATCAGGCGATCGGGAAATGCATTCCGCTAGCTCGCTAGATCTAGCGGGGACAGAGATGTAAAGCAGTCCCATGCGGCTCAAAGATGCTCTGGGCATTCTGAAAGCCTCAGCGGCCGCCCATGGTTTCCAGCCGCATTGAGGACGAGGACGAGGACGAGGACGAGGACACACAACAACTCGGTCAAAAACGTGCGGGCCCGCTTGGAAACTCGTTTGGAACCGCATGGGACCGCTCTACACCTCTGACCGGGGTGCGTGCGCGGTCGAGCGCCTGGTGGATAGGCAACTCGATGCAGCCGTGTCGATCGGCGGCCTACCTCGCAGGCGCTCTGCCCGCCGACGGCCGGCAGGCTAGCCGCGCCTTCCGCACGGGCATGCGACGCATGCGACGCGGCAAAAATAGGACAGACTATATTTGATTCGGCCTGGCGAGTGGACCAGTGACGCCCTTGCGATTCTTATACTCGACTTTACATAGAGGCAACAGATTTGTCTGGGTGATGGGGTGATGGCACAAGGCTCTGGTTGCGTGATTTCTTTTTATTTGTCTTGGTGGTCCTCGATGATGAACTGGGCGACGCGCTCGCCGACCATGATGGCGGGGGCGTTCGGGTTGCCGCTGACTGGCGTGGGCATGGCGGCCGCGTCCCCGACCCGCAGGCCGCGGACACCGCGCACCCTGAGGCGGCCGTCGAGGACGTCGCCCAGCGGACAGGTGGCGACCGGGTGAAAGGCGGAGCCCGCGAGCTCGCGCACGAGCCGTTCCCAGTAGCGCGTCGAGCCGGGAACCACGCCGTCGGCCTCGTCGCCCGGCAGCTCCACGAAGCGCAGGGTGACGCCTGCCTCCTTGAGCGGAGCAGAGGAGAGAGGGACGTGAGATGAGCTGTTCGGGCGAGCAGGATCACGTGATAAGGTGGTAGTCTTACCTGGAAACTCTTGGTCTGTGCCATCTGCTCCACTATCCTGATGGCCTCCACGAGGGTGTGCACGTCGCGCGGGTCTGCCAGCAGACCGGACTCGAACAGCGGCGGGTCGGCCGGGTTGGTGGAGCGCAGCGAGATTCGCCCCGCCCGCCCCGGGTGCAGCAGGAACGGCATAACCACCAGGATGTCGGCGTCCTCGTTAATGCGCTTGATGGCCTGCTCCATCTCGTCTGTGAGCGTCTTGCTCTGGTACATGCCCTTCGGGTAGCGCACGTGGTTGAACTGGACACTGGGCACGGCCCAGTGCTTGGTGGAGGGCGTGCGCGTGAAGCCCATGAGCTCCATGAGGCCGATGTTGGCCAGCGGGCCGCTGCGCTCCTCCAGGAAGGCCGTCAGCGGGTCCGCAGTCTGTGGTTGTGCGGGCGGCACTGTGAACACGATGCCCGGGAACATGGCGTGGTCCTGAAGCCCCTTGCCCACGGGCAGGTCCGCGACGACAGGCACCCCGAGGGCCTCGAGGTCGGCGCACGGGCCCACGCCCGAGAGCAGCAGCAGCTTGGGGGTCTCCATGGCGCCGGCGCTCAGCACCACCTCCTTGTCGACGTGCACCACGACGGGCTTCCGGTCGGCGCCTACGACGGCCTCCACCGCCGACACGCGGCCAGCGTCGAACCGCAGCCGGGTGGCAACGCAGTGCCTCGCTATGCGGAGGTTGGGCGCGAGGCCCGCGGGCGAGGCCTTGCTAAGGAAGGCCTTGGCGCTGCCGCAGCGGAGGCCGTCCCGTTGCGTCCGGGGCGGGTCCCCCCAGCCCAGCGGGCCGGGTCCGGGGCCGCTAAGGTCCTCGACCTCCGACAGTCCCAGCTCGCGCACCGCGCAGCGGATCACGGCCTTCAGGGGGTCGGCGCGGTCGCCCGCCGCGGCCTCCACCGTCATCTCGCCGCCCACGCCGTGCAGGTCGGGCTCACCCTCGGCGCGCATGTCCTCGGACCGCTTGAAGAATGGCAGCACGTCCTGAGGGCGACGCAAAGCAACGTGTTCAAGCACGACTACACTGTAAATCCGGGGTGTCTAGCAACTGTGCGACTTAAGGTGCCCGGCCCTAAAACCTGTGCGACATTGTTGGTTCGGCACCCTTTTCCCTGCACAAGGATCCAGGCCAAGCCTACGTAGGGTGTCCTGTTGTTGGACAACCCCTGCTTGCTTGGGCCCATCTGCAGGGAAAGGGCGCCAAACTACAAGGTGTCGAGCAGCTGTGTGACTTAAGTCGCACAGGTTTTAGGGTCAGGCACCTTAAGTCGCACAGTTGCTGGACACCCCGGATTTACAGTGTACTCAACAGCCTTTGCACCACCGCCAGAAAGGCTACCTTGAAGCTCCAGCCGTCGATGCCCCATGCGTCGTAGTCCCCGGGATGGCCGCGTAGGTAGGGCATGCCGTTGATGGTGCTCGTACCCCCGAGTACCTTGCCCCGTATCATAGACGTGGAGTTGCCCTTCATACCCTGTTGGTTTTAAATCAATCTAGAGAATGCCTCGCCGTGGTCGGTTCGTCATGTGCAAAATATTTTCATTTTTGTCTTACCTGGAACGCGTCTTTGCGCGGCTCCGACTGGTATCCATAGATCAGGCCCTGCTGCCATAGACGGAACCACAGTCCCGGTATCTCCGCCTCGACGGGCGGGTCGCCGCCAGCCTCCATGGCGAGCACCTTCCAGTCGGGGCGGGCCGCGGCGAGCCGGGCCGCCACGGCCGCCCCCGAGGCTCCGGCCCCCACCACCACGACGTCGAAGTGCTCCCCGTCCCGCAGGCCCGGCGCGGCGTCCTCGGGGTACTCGGCGCTGGGGCCAGCTTGCTGGCGGACCTTCTGGAGGAAGGCGGGCGGGAGCGCCATCTCCGCTCCCTCCAAGCTGTCAACAAGAAGGAAGCACCCGCTAATGATCGTCCAGCAAGTACGCCCGTTTTCCTCGGATTCATTCGGCAAATTACGGAAGCTCGGCGCCTGCGAGAATCAGGGTAGGCCATCACGCAGTACACACATGCCCTGCAGGCGAGATGTTGCCTACCTACCAGGCGTTAGGAGAGCCTGCAAGGGCTCAGCTTGGAAGGTTCGAAGCGGCGAATGGTGGGCGCACTTTCTGGATGAGCCCTTGAGAAATGCAGTTTAGATGTAAGCAAGCGGGGCCGCCCGCGAGATAGGCAACCTATCCTGCTCGACAAAGGGGCCGAGGACAGCGGCCCGCAGCGCGCCGGTTATATGCCCATGGTTTGTTTGCAATACGATAAGGCGATTTGAAATGCGTTAAAACTGTTTTCGCGAGGGCCCTACCGACGGCAGAATCTGCTGCCATGCAAGTCGAAAATGGCACAATGTGGACGCCAGTCACGATTTTGTGCACACGTGACGTCGTCGGTTATTATTACAGAATACGTCACGGTGATGTCACGGTGGCCGTGTGACGACTACGTGACGATGGGGTCCTCCCGTAAAGGTGGCGAGGGCATGTTAAGTGGGACGCGGAATATTCGACAGTCATACTACGCCTCTGCGTTACATGCGCCTTGGGCGAAATGCCTTAGAACAGCAACGGCGTTCATATGCAGCTCCACAAACTCACCCTCCGAAGAGTAGCGAGAATGTCACGACAAGCCAGGCGGGTGACATGCTCCTGCACCTCGACTGAAGAAAGCCGCGCCAGCCGCAAAGCCCCAACCTGGCGGGTATGTGCGTTAAAGAGGGCGGCGAAGGTCCGTCCCCCTTCCTACCGCAAGATAAACGTCGACTAAACTGGTCGCCCAATCGCCGCGAGCATGACCTGAAGTTGTAAGGTCTTAAACACCAGGTGGGCGTTCTCTGATTGTGACGTTCGCACGGTTCGCACTCACCGCGTGAAGCTAGGAAGAGGGAGTGTCGTCGTCGTTCACGATCTGAGCATATTCCGACTGCACCGCGCTGCCGACCCTCGGTAACAAGTTGACGCCCGCAGACGCCGAGTGAGAGAGAAAGTGTCGGCTGAAGAGGTCTCCCGTACTGCCTCCTTGCGAGCCGCCGTCCGACTGAAACACACGCGCCGCACGCACACTGCCGCGCCGTGCCATGGAGCAGATCCGATGGAGGGAGAGGCCAACGACCGCGACCGGGACGGCCGGTCGCTGTCAAAGTGAAAGTGACGTGAATAAAGAAAAATACAAACAAGGAAAAAAAGAAATATCTTAACTTTTGAAAATGGGTGCGAAAACAAATGATAAGACTTGCCGATTTATAAAAATTTGTCCGTTTTATAAAAAAAAGAAAAGTGTAAAGTCTACTGCGCTCTACTGTATGACGATGGTTTATGATAATGATAATCTGTCCGGGATGAAGGGACGATAAGCGGAGGGCGGGAGCGGGCCACTTTATACGTCCCGAACGGAGCGAGACGGACTCAAAAGCTTGACACACCTTCATTTGAAATCTAAGCTTTAAATGATACGAGAGTATTTTAGTACCGGCATGGCAAGCCTTTCCGACATCAAAATTTCCCGCGAAGTATGGTGAGCAGGTTTTGACGCAAACCGGACGCAAACACACCAACATGGGTTGACGGTTGGTAGTATACAAAACGCGGAATATTTAAAATAAAAGAGAAGGGACTTCTACCACACTATGAAAAAAGTATCAGTTTGAATGAATAAACGAAAGACATTTTATTCACAATAAACAAAGTTGAAATAGCACTAAAGTAAGTAAATACAATCAATTGGACAACTGTGTTAACAGTGCACACCCTCTTGTAATCCAAACATCTTCACTTATATTTGTAGGAAGTAAAACAGCCATAATAAAGTTGGTTGAGTGTCCTGTTGTAGATAAAACACCAGCTCGAGCAGATGTTTTATACAAAGGTGATCTATATCGGTTAGACAGATCTCCAACAGAAGTACACGGAACTAAAAGGACAGCTGGCAATGGCGGATTTATCTCCCCTAAAAAAGATTCCCATTTTTAAGTACAAAATTACAATTTTCTTCCCTAAGAAAGTAAGTTGTTGTGAAGTGCAGTCAGTTGACTTTTTACCTGGGTTCGGGTCTGTCAACATTTTTGTGACAAAATTCCAACATGCAGCTTCTAAAAATAGACCATGAATATATATTCCATCTGGAGGCTGTTG